GGATTTGAGTGGGGTATCCCGCTCCAATCTAAGGTATATCAAATTTGGGTACCGAATTCGACAAAGATCGAAATCACAAGAGACCACAGAGCCAGTTACAGACGAAAATGGCGTACGTGAGTCACAGAATGATGACGAACACGATAGCATTCTTTGAGAAGGGACAGAGGGAGTTGCCTCAAGTCGAAGAAGGTAACTTGGGGATCCTAGAATCATCAGAACTAGACAACCTGGGCGGCCGCGAAAAGAATAAATTGACATTGAATCGGCCGTTGCAGGTGCCGCTGAAATTTATACGTTTAAGGCCCCAGAATCTAAAGAATGGAAAGATGCAATGACTTCTGAAGTAAAATCTCTTATCAATAAAGAAACATGGCAAGTGGTGGACGAACCGGATGGTTAGCGAAGTATTGCGAATAGATCCGTTCTGCGAAACCAATTTAAGTTAAATCGACAAACGGAAGGGTCGCGTGGTATCAAGAGGATTTGGAATGAGCTCATACATCAATACGAGCTGCTGTTGCAGCCTTTTGACAAAGAAATGAAGATTCATCAATCTCAACATATCGAGGGCTTATTCAAATGGAATGATCAAGGAACAGATTTTTAGAAAAAAACCGAAGAAATACTGGAGCATATTGTGACAACAGAGCATTTAAGATGAAAGTGAAGAAAATGACGAAAAGCCGACAAAGTACGTGAAGAATTTATTGGGAGTCAACATGGAAAGCATCGTCATAAGAAATGACAGTATCGGAGCACAGAAATTATCTGCTAATCCAGTTTTCCACGCGTGGTTCAAGCACATAGATATCAGATACCATTTCGTACGAGATGTTATAAAGAGGAATGACATCAAGGTGGAGAACATATACCCACTGAAGGAAGAAACACGGAAATTGTGTAAATGAGCTAGGTTTGAGACGGGTTTATTCATAGTTTTCAGTTTAGAAAGTAATTGTGGTTCAAGGTGAAGTATTGGAGAATATTGTACGTAGGTACGACCCACAGTAAGTTGCTTTGGTAGCCAGTATTGGGACAGAGATATTTATCCCATTCGTGTCACCTCATATCGTGTTATGTTATCGTCATTATAAAAAGTTCTTTGCATTTTATGCAAGTCACTGTTTCAACATAGCTTCCTATGTGTATACAGTAAGTAACGTGTTGAAAATGGATAGTCCACATTTTTCATAAACACAAAAACATTCTTTTCAAAGTTCGATACCTCCAATACACATTCTTCACTTAATTTCTTGAAATTGATTTTTGATTGATCCAACAAATAAGTTTAAATGTGTCGATAACCTTCAACAAAAAATTATCTTGTATCTATATTTAATTCGCTCAACGGCAAACTTTAGAAATTGACAAAACCATTTAATTTATTATTTTAAAAAAACCCTCCTATTGGAGGGGAAGTATGCGGTGAAAAAAATGATTCCACTCCATCATTAAATTCGAGAATCCAGTAAAAATGGAAAAAAGGTTACAGATCTTTAAAACCAATGGGACCTATGTATATACAGTAGAAGCGAAGCATCTTGAACCCAACTATTTAAAATGTGGTTACCGGCCAAAGTTCTATTGAGAATTTTCACAAAATTCCTAAAAAATTGGTGTTGCAATATTGATAAAAAGACTCCTGATTTTCCTACATTCTTTTGCTTCTGATCGTAAAGCTACTCCGTGAGGCACTAGGAATGATGTTTCTCAGTATACATACTATGTTATTTTACATATCGAACATTGTACTTCGTACTCTAAATTTGTGTTTTTCATTATTTTACGTTGCGAATGAAACAAATACAAAGTCGCTGTTCATTACAAAAATACTGGCCAATTTGTGTATAGTATCTTTTTAATAACGGATTTTTTTGTGAAATAAGGGGAATTGGTCAATTTGTGAAATAGTTGCCTACAAGAAGAAGACATGTTCCGTAAAAAAAGGACAACTGGTAAACATAATCAGTGGTCAAATGTGTGTTTTAGTCCGACGGTGCATTTTGTTGTAAAAAAAAATGGATGGAAAAACACCTTAGGAATTAACAGACACTTTAGTCGTTACTTGTAAATAGGATAGCTGAGGGTGCTAGGGTAAATGGCACAACAAAAATGCACCAGCCAGCAAGCACCCGTTCGATATCTAAACTGGCATATTTTTGAAACGAATTATATAAGGTACGAATTTCTGTGTCGGAACACAGTTTTATCAAGCCTTTTGTTGGGGTTCATGCAACCGCCAACATTTTTTTTACATACTTACCGTTTTATGAAGGTTCTCAACTCAATGTCACTTTTAAATCGGAAAACAGAACTTCTTCTATCGGGAAATAAGGGCGAAAGGGGCCTTCTGTCAATAAGATTTCCGTTATACCGCAAATGTTCCTTTCCATTTATGTATTACGCGGATATTTTTATGCACGAACTGTAGCGAAGGGTGAATTCTCGACGAGTGCCTCGAATTGACTTTTCGTAAGCATAACTTATTGCACAACCCCTAATAAAATAACTTAACTGCCGAATTGACAAATTCTATTTTATAATGTTGCAGAGAAAAATCGCTCTACCGTAGTTCCGCAAAGAGGCTTACGTGTATTTAAGACCAAGTTTTATGCTTTATTAGGGCACCTCCTTGAAATTTGCATTTTTTTATACTACGTGCTAATGTGCGCCCTTTTACCTTAATATTTGAGGTACTCGTTTGTCACACATGAATGTTTTCAGCTTCAGACGTGCTGAACTAAAGCGTATAAGAAGGATTTAGCTGCTTCATAACGACCACAGTCCTTTTACCTTGCTGTATTGATGACGAATGTCTATATGAAATAAAGACACTGATTTTGTGAGACGCTTTAGGTGCTGTAGTCATAAAAGTTCTGGCTACCGAGTACTTGAAGTTGTGAAGTTTACGAATTGCCCCCTCAAATGACCGCAAAACCGCCAAAATACCCTTTTGGAGAAAAAAATTGCATTATAGATACAGGGGAATCAGAAGAATTCAAACCATCTACCTTACATAATAAGTGCATATCTCGGTGCATATATGCGCTGGATTTCCTATAGTCCATTAAACACAAATATGAAGTTCTTATGAAATTTCACTTTTGCTAACAAGACTTTGGTATTTAGGGGTGACGTCCTTAGGTACAGTTTTTGGTATTCTGCAGTGCCGATGGGCTCATTTTCATGGCGTTGTAGATCATTTTCCTTCAAATCACACCATAATTTGTTCATTAAAATGAGCTAGCGGATTGGTAATTTTTGACTACTAGTCACCATTTATTTTTTGTCAGCAAGACTCAGGTTTTTTAACCCTTCACGTTATGTAAGGCTTATCAACAATCGCAAGTCCACAGCTTTCAAATCTTCGTCTCAAGCTGTTCTTAAATTCCATTTTAAGTGTCCAGAAATTCTCAAATTGCTTCCAGGATGTTAAATTCCTTTTAATCCAAGTCCAGATTTCTTTGAACATCTATTCTACTCTATTCTATATTAATTAAAAAACGCCTACAAAGTGGCGTCTTATTAAAGTAGACGGCCATCCTTAATAGTTAATTCATTTGCTTAATTCCCACCTTACAAATCAAACAAAAACTAAGGTACTAAATAATTCCCAATTACGACCAACATATCTCAGGTTGCAGTTTCCCTAAAATGACCTCATGCCGAATTCACAGTTGTAATCAAATATCCTTAATTAAGATGACTGAGTATGATTCAAATCTCCGACATCTCGTCTCCAGACATCCAGACATTCGCTTATTTATTCTTACAATTCCACTACCAACTTCTAACTTGACCACAAAAATTAAAAAAACAAAACTAAATTTGGACGTACCGTTACAAAGTCTAAATGATGTAATTAATTCAAAAAGTGAATGAATTAGTATTTCAGTAACAAAGTGTTTGTGTCTAACACACTCTCCTTCTATACTGCCATCACATCCATCAGTCCTTGGAATAAGCTCACCTTATACCTTCTTTATTGTAATATTACATACGCCCCCCAATACTTTTCTGATCCTGTGTTTCCTAGGCGGGATTATTGCGACCGGGAAGTGAACGCACACCCTTTTTACGTCTATTAATGTAATTGAAAGAATGGCTAGTTCTGTAATTTGATTGTGACCTAATTTTGGTGGAAATATGTAACTTATTTGGAATTTAATTTTGGTTCAAAATAGATTTTGAATATTTATAAAATGAAACAATTATTCATAATCAACAGTAGATTTAATTATAATAAAAAGTTCTACTAGTAACCATATTGTATAAAAACAATTGGTTAAAAAAAATAACACCAACGCATCGTTTCAAAAATGAGTTGAAACTTTATTTAACACGATTAACCCTATATAACTCACATTTCGTATAAATTATTGTTAAAATTACCAATCTTTATTTTACAAAATGTGGCAATTATGGCAATAAATTATTATTAATAATAATATTAATTAAAAAAGTGCATCTGCACGCGTTTGTATGCCTTCATGTCAATGCAGATCTCATTTGAGAAAGTAAGCATTGACACAAGAGTTGTGCACAATTTATACTTGTTTTTATTGTGCCCTGTACATCACCTCAAAACTTTATATGGAATTTCGTTTATGTTGTTTTGTGAAATCATTATCAAACATGTACGATAGATTTCATTCGCGAACACTAAAACTTTTCGATGAAGCCAATGTAAAAATATCAGCCAAATAATGCAGCAGCAGAGACATATGTTAATTGCTGAAAGAACACCTATAATAAGAATTGTTTTAATTCAAAATTAAATAATTGTGTACAGGTCTCTACTGGAGGGTAAGTATAATTATCCAAACAATGTTACTACTAAAGCAACCGCCAACATTAAAAGGAAAAGTGAAACAATAACGTACTTTATTAATAGAGTGATGTCATACCATTCTATTACACTCCACAGCAATTTGCGACATTTATTAATCTATTGCAATTGAAACTAGTTGTACCTTTCTATTTCATCCTGATGCACGTGCAACGGGCAACGTACGTAAAACAAATATCGTTTAAGTTTTAAAATTCTGAATGAATATTCGTAAAAGGCCGCAAAAATGGCACGCGACATACGCAAGTGTGCTTTTTAGCAATCGCAATGAATTACGAGTTCAGCCACCTAAAGTTTGTGCAAAGTGGAGTACAGTGTAGCTACCTACTTACAAGCTCCGCTACTATATTTTATTATGAAATAGCGTGTGTTCCATTCCGATACGTTACATGATAAGAAATGTGATGAAAATATATTACAATTAACGATTGGGTAAAAAGTTTTAAATTTACAAAATTGTATTTGTATTAACAACTGTGTTTGTTTCAGAAGGCAATGAGGGATATGGATTTCTGAAACTGACCCACAGCTACAATATGCGACCACATACATTAACGTGTTGACATTGCTACTGTAAGTTGATTGCTTTTACCCTTTTATTTATCTGCAATACCGGTAGATATTCAATTTCGGGACAACGAGCCTATAGCGTTGTCCATTAGGAAAACAATAAAAAAATTAAAAACGTATTACTTTTAAATTTCACTGCGATTTGCGTTTTGTTATTAGAACAGATATGGTTTTGAACGCAATAGAAGGAATTTAATATTTCCGTCGTTTATCTACTTTCAAAATTTCTTTGATCTAGGGCCTAGGCGAATAAATTATTACCTACCTTAATAAAATTCACCATAGCTATACTTGATGTACATCATAAAAGCGTTACCTATTCTTGAGAAAACTAACGAAAACTAATTTCTTGAACACTTTGAATCCTTCTAGCCCCCAAATCAAGCCACAAAATTCTTGTTCTGACTGTTTTGACTAACATTTTATAGGCGAGGCTATTGAAAAGTAGGTATAGCTGCTCTAGTTACTAATACCACGAAAATGGGAAAACTACATTTGGACTTCTCTGGATTAACGGATAGATAATTACGAAGTAATTGTCGTTGCTCTATATTATGAATGGGGGTCATACAAGTTTTCTTTAAGGTCACACCGCTCTTCAGGTTACTACTATATGCGTTGCAAATGTTAAGAAAATCTGTATTATTGCGTTCTGAGGCCGATGTTCCAAGAAGAAAAGCTCCCAATAATCAAAGGTCCCAAGAATAATCAAAACAATCTGTGATGTAAACCGACACTACGACGCTTACTATAGTTTTAAGAAACAGTACCGCAAAGCAATTGCACCAGAAAAAAGCAACGCTTATGAGCTCTTTTTGAGTAAGTCCGATAACAAAAGCAGAGATTCCTGGAAATTAATTAATTTCGAACGGAATAAGCACAACTCCCAAAACAGGAAATCTAACTTCACTGCGGATAACTTTAACAATCATTTTGTAAACGTGGCCGAGGAAATAATTCGCCATTTAGGTAAAACAAACTTAATCGCTCCCCAACCATTACATTATCCATCAACTTTTACTGGTACTTTTTTGTTATACCCTGTATCAAAGTGCGAAGTCCTAGATGCTGTAAATTTATTAAGTGACTCATTCTGTACGGATTATTACGGAATTAACATTAAATTAATTAAAAATACAATACATATAATATACATTAAGTATTTGGTACATCTATTTAATCCTTGTATCTCAGAAGCCAATTTTCCTGAGGCGTTTAAAGTGTCAGTTGTCAAGCCCCTTTTTAAGAAGGGAGACCCAAACAACATAGACAATTATAGACCAATTGCTATAGTCCCAATGTTTTGTAAACTTTTTGAAATTGTTTTAAATAAAAGATTATATAACTATCTAGAGCGTAATAAATTATTAAATCGTGGTCAGTATGGGTTTCGAAAAAATCATTCCACAACAGAAGCTGTGGGCCAAATTATATCTCTAGTAGTAAAATCCTGGGAGAACGGGGAACATTCTTCATTAATACTCTGTGATTTGTCCAAAGCTTTTGACTGCGTTTCGTTTGATATTATGTTAGATAAGCTTCAATTATATGGGATTAGGGGACTAACGGGATCGTTAATGTCAACCTACCTTAATAATCGCAAGCAATGCGTTTTGATTGACGGTATATATTCTAAGTTAATTAATACTAAGCATGGAGTCCCTCAAGGGTCCATATTAGGGCCTTTACTGTTCATTATATACATTAATGACTTTTTCGAATATATACATCCTAATCACGCTGTTGCATATGACGATACTTCATTACTGATTTCGGACCAAAATATCGAAACTCTAGCCCTTAAAAGTCATAATTTAATACAATTAGGAATAACCTGGTTTAATAAGAACAATTTAAAATTAAATGAAGATAAAACTCACATAATTACCCTCTCCACAAACAATAAGGTTGCAACCGGCAGGTGTGTTAAAGTTTTAGGCATATATATTGATGAAAAACTCACTTGGAGCAATCACATTGACCAAATCATTATTTATTTTAAGGAATTTAAAACGATCACTTTGTATAGCCACCCTAAGATCGTGCTATTTTCTTTAGTTCATTCACATTTACAATATGGTGTAATTTTGTGGGGTAACTCTTCCAAAGCGAGCAAGGCGTTTTTATTGCAAAAAAAAATAATCCGTATAATCGTAAATGCTGACTATCGTGCTCACTGCCGACCTATTTTTAAAAAATTAAATATTATGCCTCTTCCATCTATTTTCATATATCACACCATATTGGAAATTCATAAAAACAAAAATAAATTTGAAACCAATGACTTCTCTCACAACTATTCTACACGAGGAGCAAAAAAAATAAAAACGCCCTATTATAAACTAAGTAGGTCTAAAAATAACAGTCTTAGGGTCGACTTATACAATATCGTTCCTGATTGTATCAAACCTTACAATTTTTATAAATTTAAAAGAGTCGTTAAGGCGCACTTATTAAGTCATTCTTTTTATAACGTTAGTGAATATTTACATACGCCTTGGAGATCTATTCAATAATTTTAATGATATTTATTTATTTCATTGTTTGTTTACTTGAATTTTTTGTACCTGTGTAGTAGTATTCTCTTTAGTCATTTTTACCTTTACTTGTTTATATTTTATCTCTGTTTTGTCTCTTTTTAACTAAAATTTTAAATTGTTTATAATCTATATTCTGTTTTAGCTACATGGTCTGTCTAGCTTTTATTTATTTGAAATTTTAAACTGTTTTTATTATTCCTTTTATATATATATATATATATATGCATTGTACTAATTTAATATTTACCATATTTTCTGACGTGTCAAAACCTATTTTTGGTATACGGACAAATAAAGATTGATTGATTGATTGATTGATTGAATAAAAAATCAAAACTTCATTTTTGAAACTTCAAGAGCATGAAAATCCAAGGCTTCGACTTAAACCGTAGGCTCCAAAGTCCAAGCTATGCAAACATCAAGATTAAAGCTACAAGGTTCCAGAATCACGCTCCAGAATCCAAAGTTTAGGATCAAAGCTTAGGTGTCAATGTTCAAATTTCAACATTTAACTCTTGCCATTCAAGCTACAAGTTTAAGTTTTAAAGAATTTAAGAACGAAGATTCAAAATTTAAATTTTAACATATCAAGCTTCAAAATCAAACTGTAAGATCTGAGCATCAAAGATCTATATACAAGGAATTATTTTAACACCAAACCTATCAAGTCTCGTGCATCCAGTTCCACTATTTGTACCTCACTGAAATATATTATATATGCTTCAAAATTTGTGTTTGAAGTTCACGTGTGAATATTTAAGCTTTTACGTTTAAATCTCACAGAGTTAAAATTTCAAACTTTAAGGTTAAAGCTTCAGAACTGCAAGTAGTTTTACTCTTAACCAGTCCCTAGAAAGACTTTATTGCTTATGGTAATAATTACAGTCAAGTTCAAGTGAGGATATTTTCATCTTCTTGTTGGTGTAGGTAACTGTCTTTGAGCGACACTATCGGTTCTCATGCTGCAACGTTCAGCGATAGCACCAGACGTGCCCTGATGTTCCTCACTTTTATTCACCATCTGTATGTAGTATATAGGCCGACTAGGTACACGTGAAGGCGTCACTCTTCAAAATATTCGCATAAGAAAATATCTACCTACACGTCATGTATAAATGTGAGTGTACCTAATATGCATTATGAGGAGTACTTGCTGTAAATAGTACCAACCCACTGGCAACTGGCAACAAGCCAAACCAGGGACGCCTACCGCTGATCATGCTGGCACCAGATCACATGACATTGAAAAGTTGGTAAGGCATAGGACACCCCAAATGAGCATGCCGATCAACGCCGCGTTAAATCGCTTTAAATCTTCCATGGGCCGCCTTTTCGGTATCGACCGCCTTAAACATCCGAGAGAATTGTGAAGCATGGATAAAATGCTGCTAATCTGTAAATAAATTACACATGAATTATGATTGTGGCAAATTTCGGGCTTCTTTCGCACATTTTTTTTTGTTGAAATCGCGAAAATTTCCTTCGAAAGGTCGGGTTTTTATCAATTCTTTTACCGGGTATGTTTACTAGAGACTTAAGAAAAGAAACTCATTTATCATTTACTTCCTCAAAAAAACCGTAATAATAATTATTGTACAATATGAATTAAATATACCGATAAATAACCAAAAAAAGCTGAGATTTTTACACATAATATTTCAAAACAGGATAATGAAAACAGATATTTTAAACAAAGTTAGGAAGATTGTAGTATCCTTAAATTTAAATTTGAACCAATCATTTTAACCTAAAATCTTGAAAAATTGAACTTTGCAAACCATGAGTGGTTAAATTTCAATCTAAAAGCCAAAAATGTTATATTTCAAAGAATTCTGATTCTGAAGATCTTGAAAAAAATTCAAACTTCAAAATGGAGACGTCAGACGAAACAGAAAATGTAATAATCCTGCGATTCTGAAAGAAAAGTAAGGCGCGTTTTATGTACAACAGATAAAAACAAACATTATATAAAAAAATTGAGAGTATATAATTTTAAGTAAAAAAATTAAAAATGAAGGTCATAATTATAATAAACTATCTAAAGATGACAAAATGAATGTCACACATGTTCGATATTCTATTGAATATGAGAAGCAGTCAATATATTTGTATTAAGTTTAGAGCAGTAAAGTTTGGTTGACAAACGTAAAGCATAAAATGGTACCTATAATAGTATATTGAAAGACAAGTGTTACAATGCGACCTATTGTAATACGACTATCTTGTGGCACGAGTGGCGACGCGAAGCGTAGCCACGAGTGTCCGCAAGATAGGAGTATTACAATAAAGCATTGTAACACGCGTTTTTCATACTATTTTTTCTATTTCGGTGCTTCAATTTAATTAAAAAAATCATTATCAGAAACTATAGGGAACACTAGAACTAACATGTTTTATGTTGGGAACACTTTTTATGCCGTTAAGTTTTAGGTTGGCAGCGTAGTAAGACTGACATTTTGAAGTTCAAACATGGAAGTACCCAACGAAGTACCTACTTGTACTAACTAGTAACTGCCAACTTAAGAGATGAGTTACCAAAAAAAAACGACTATAATCACTGTCTTTGTGCAACTGTTTTCGGCCGAAAACAGTTGTACAAAATCGTCATTGTGACACCGAAATAGAAAAATTTATTAAACGTTCTGTCTTGTTATGAAAGTGGTTATACAGAAAAGTGACTTAATTCTTCTTTCTTCCGGTGAATTTAAGTTGAATCTGGCAAGAAATTGCAAATCTTTGAACCCTATTTCAACATTGCTTTTAGGTAGGCTTGGCCTTCACTTTTGCAGTCCCCTATGACTGTAAACTGTAACTTGCAAATAATCGTTTTTAATTAAAAGCCAAAACTGTAAAACACGAAAACTGCCCGAGAAATAATTTCAAGCGAGAGTCAAACATTAAAATCTTCATGAACTTAGGAACTATGGCAGATTTAAATGTGGAACTGTCAAGAATCCTGTGAACATAGTTTAATTTTAATTTAGTTTTATTTCACTTATATAGATGGAATCTGCATTTATTTGGGAAATGTTTTGTATTCACTACCTTCAATTTTTGAAATAAATTCAAAAAATTCATTGTTGTCAAATCCGGTGCGTGGGAGGTGCAGCTTTTTGGCATCAGTAGCTCTCACCGATATCCGCTGTTCAGTAGAAAATCTAAAATCTATCTATCCTTTCAACCCTATAAAATATAGTGATTACCTATTAGAAAAAGGTGGGTGATTTTTCAATTAATTCATATAAGGAAATTTCATTTTGCAGCAATCCACATCTTTAATTTATAATTTGTTATCTTGAAAGCCACAAATTTTTAATTTGCGCAAATAAATAAATATTTAAAGCTGCGATTCTGAAACGACATATTCCGACTTAAAATTTGAAAGGGGTTGAAGGGCGAACAAATTTCACTGTAAACCTGAAACCCGTAATTTCAAAATATGGGTGATGAAGGATCTACAAAATATTATTTAATGGAGAGTTAGTTATGATATCAAATTACGATTGAAGTGAGGATATTTTCAATACATATGCTTGAAGTCCAGGATTGAAGACTAAAAACTCAACTCTTTGTAAATCGGAATCGGTTTCATCGGTAAATAAAATTATTATTATGCAAGCAAAAATTCCCCCACCTTTCAATCAGTAGGTACTAGAGCTATCGAAAATAGGCCGAATCATCAGCGTTTGATAAAATTTTTAATCAAATTTAATATCTTGTTATGATTGCTTTATCTGCGTATGTGTCTTAACCTTTTCTAAATATACACCTCCCATTTTTGCAACACGAAGGGGACCTAAAGGAAGTCTTGTGCCAAAAGTGATGGTTTCGTGTGTACTCCAGCCGTATAGGATTAAACTATAAGATATAGTCTCGGGGCCCAAAAAGTGTGTGGGGAAGGGGGGGGCTAGGTGCCTTTATGCGTATTTTTAATTTCACGGATAAAGTGATCAAGGTATAGTTTACTCCAAACACTGGTGGATTGAATGTCAGTTCAGAAGAAAGGAAAAAACATTGTGTCTAATGAGACCTGTGATTAACTATTAAATAAAGAAGTGTTGCCTGAATTGAATGGTAAACTGTTGTAATTAGTGATAAAGAGAAATTTAATTTAATATGGCAAAAGGCAACCTGACATTTTTCAATATTTGTTTCTTGTAATCTTGATGAAAATCATAGCTAGTTAATCATGACGTCTACTATAATCTTCTGCTCTTCTTTTTCAGATAAAGTTGATAGTTTCGGAGATAATCACTTTTCTTTGCAACGTTGAGATAGGTTCTATGATTCACATAATAGAATTAAGTTAATTTCAATTATGAAGAGCCAAAGCTTACCACTAAGTGTGTAACACGCAAAGAATGATGTAGTACGTCATTGCATTGTAGCATCTCATCGTACGTACAACAATTGACTTCGCAGAGTGTACGCGCTATTGTGTAACAAAAGGACCCGAAATTCTCATTGTAAGTGCATTAATATTGTACTAATTAATCCAACACATGTTTGTTAGCGCTGACGAATGATGAACTAATAATAATCCAACAATAGCATTATCATGAAAAATATATTTGTATGACCGTCTACTAATATCCTGTATTTGGTATATTATGCTGAACGATATCCCCGAAAAATAACGAGGTACTGTGTTCAATGGTGATAATCTTATTTTAGTAGGATTTTGAGCCCGCAACTCGCAAGAATTCCGTTATTATTATAGTGTAAAATGTAAATATGTGAACCTCTGTTATACACAGTTAATTTTCACGCTAATATAAGCGCCTTCACTTAATAACAACTCCTTATTTAATTTTCAAACCACCGTACATTTAGTGCTAAATCAAACTACACAGAAAAATTGTTACTATAAAAAGATTTAGACGGAGAAGGAACGGTGTTGGAGTTTTGATCCAATCCATCAAATTCCTATAATGGATTTTAAGCATCTCAAACGCATACTTCATCTGTAACATGAAGAAATACATTTTAGGTATTTCACTTTGAATTACATTACAAAATGGCATTTGTTTGTAGTATTGCATTTCGACTTTTAGTCCCAAAGTAATTACGACGTAATTAAATACATTTGGGAGATATTCAATTTCCTGAGGCAATTTACAAAGGATTCTTTCGTAAGAGGTGCGCATTTTTCGAACGGCCTTATGATGTACATCAATACTCGACTCATTTTTCATACCATTACATATGGCGATTCTCGCGTTAATAAATAATAATAAATGCATGCAACGCGTGTGCAGTTCCCACACTGATACTAATTGAAGGTTTTCTTTTAGCATAAAAAGAGATGTGGAAACCGTGGATCGCCTGGCTACTAGTAAGCTTGCTACTACCCTCGTGCTTTCCAACCCCACATCGTGGTCGACATCATTTTCCCGAACCAAATGCTGAACCACTTCAGATGGCAAGAGATCCGTTCGATCCTCATCGAGACTCGGAAGAATTTCGCAGGGACGCTCCAGACGATCGACGCGATTTTTCTCGAAGAGACTCTACTGATGAGGACCCTTTGGTAGTTCACACGAAGAAGGGCAAAGTACGCGGTATCACTGTAACGGCGGCTACGGGTAAGCAAGTGGACGCATGGTTGGGTATCCCGTACGCGCAAAAGCCGGTGGGTAACTTGCGCTTTCGACATCCTAGACCTATAGAAAAATGGGATCACATATTAAATACAACGGTGCAACCAAATTCTTGTGTACAAATTATAGACACTGTATTCGGTGATTTTGCAGGAGCCACTATGTGGAATCCTAATACTCCCTTAAGCGAGGACTGCCTGTATATTAATATTGTAGTACCTAAACCGCGACCTACGAACGCGGCGGTGTTATTATGGATTTTTGGTGGTGGATTTTATTCGGGCACTAATACTTTAGATGTGTACGATCATAATATTATAGTTTCGGAAGAGAACATTATTCTAGTTTCAATGCAATATCGAGTGGCCTCACTCGGATTTTTATATTTCGGTACGTCGGACGTGCCGGGAAATACGGGCCTTTTCGATCAGCTAATGGCGATACAGTGGATTCACGATAATATTGCAGCGTTCGGCGGAAATCCGAATAACATTACACTTTTCGGCGAATCCGCCGGAGCCGTTTCCGTTTCGTTACACTTATTGAGTCCGTTATCGCGAAATCTTTTTTCGCAAGCGATAATGGAATCGGGAAGCGCGACGGCGCCTTGGGCCATTATCTCTAGAGAAGAAAGTTTATTGCGCGGTCTTAGATTAGCCGAAGCAGTGCAGTGTCCGCACGAAAGAGACGATCTTACAGCTGTGATTGATTGTTTACGAAGAAAAGATCCCAAGGAGTTGGTTAATAACGAATGGGGTACGCTCGGTATTTGCGAATTTCCCTTTGTACCCGTGATAGATGGCGCGTTTCTGGACGAATACCCATCGCGCGCTCTTGCCAATAAAAATTTTAAAAAGACTAACATCCTCATGGGTTCCAACACCGAAGAGGGATATTATTTTATTATTTATTACCTCACGCAACTGTTCCGAAACGAGGAGAACGTCTACGTTAACAGGCAAGAGTTCTTACAGTCGGTAACCGAATTAAATCCTTACATGAATGCAGTTGCACGCCAAGCTATTGTCTTCGAGTACACAGATTGGTTAAATCCAGATGATCCTGTCAGTAATAGGGACGCATTAGATAAAATGGTGGGCGATTACCATTTTACGTGCAACGTCAACGAATTTGCAAATCGCTACGCCGAAACCGGAAATAACGTTTACATGTATTACTACAAACACCGAACAATAGCGAACCCTTGGCCATCGTGGACTGGAGTAATGCATGCCGACGAGATCAATTACGTATTTGGAGAACCACTAAATCCGACCAAGAGCTATACACCGCAAGAAGTCGATTTGAGTAAACGAATCATGAGGTACTGGGCAAATTTCGCGAAAACGGGTAATCCTAGTTTATCTCCAAGCGGAGCGTGGACTCCAACCTTCTGGCCGTTGCATACTGCATATGGAAGAGAATATTTAACGTTAGACATAAACTCTACTGCAACTGGTCGTGGACCGAGACTTAAGCAGTGTGCCTTTTGGAAGAAATATCTACCTCAACTAACGCAAATGACAGGTATGGTACTTCCACTTTTGTTATAATTGATTAAATACAGCTTTTATAACGCTTTGGAAAGGGTGTTTTTAACTGTTAGTCACTTTATCAGCGAAGGAACACGTTACTATTGGCTGTATCGACTGTAAAGTCGTTAGAGTGTGTTTAGAATTATTAATTCTATCGCATGACTTCCTGCCAAAGCTGATATTCCTCTGTCTCCCATCTTGAAGCCAACTATTGTGCTCTGCATCAATTTAGTAAATATCTGTTGTAAACATTTTTTGTTCATGTCGATCAGCAGACATGTCGGGCCAACAAGTCGCCGAGACTTGTCCTTACGAAAACCGACCTTTACAAATACTGCCATAAGCAAATAATGTCAAATAATATACTAATTGCAAATGAATGCGATTTGATCTAGGATGAGAAATTTTAATTACTTCCTGATTCTTCTAAGAAAAAGCTGACGTAAAAACTCTATACGGGTCGCATTTAGGCAATAGCTGCCAAATTTCTCGCTTTGGTCATTGCACATCGCTAGCACAGTTCGCCCATCCATTGCTAACTGATAGTACGTTTTGCCCATCTTTTTTAAGCATTAAAATACATCATTATTTTACTCTATCCCCATTTGTAAAATTAATCGCTATTTTATCATTGTTCATTGATATAGTTCATTTCTACCTCTTTTTGATATCCAGTTGCATAGAAAAAGCGTGAACAGACAAAATCTGATCTTGAGACCCGCGACATTGAGTCGAAATGCACACGATATTAGGAATTGTGCTAGGTAAAGGTACAACGTATTAGTAATAGAGTGCAATTACTTAGACTGTTATGTTTGTTATTTAAAGATAGAATATATTAAAGATTGGAATTGGATTGAAATTGATTTATATCCATATTTTCTCCTATGTGGTATTCGTTAATTATTAAATTAGTCTTCACCACAATATAATTTATTAAATGAATTTATAATTTAATTTAATAAATTATATTGTGGTGAAGATTGGGAGTATCAGTTAATTTTATAATTGAAATTGCTTTTAAAACATTTTCACACGATACTAAAATGTTATGGGATATAAATAAAAATTAAATAATTGTTGCTTAAATTTTTACAAAAAGTTAGTTGTACTTAAATATTTAAACCATCAATTTATCGGAAAAAATAAACTACACCAATATAGACAACGAGCGACTTCCTGAACACTGTTCTGAATCGCAATTCGATTTGCTTATATAGGAAACTCGAGTGTTACCGAATCTTCTAGAATGTTCTCGAACAAACACGTCACATTTCTCGGAAAGATTGAAAGATATCCGCCTTTGTTGTTTATGGTCGATGACTAATCTTTCATGGTAGGTACCTCGATGTCTAGATACAACTCATTAACTTAAAATGCAATGTCAATTGTCTATTTTGTGGCAGGGTTGGACAAAATCGTCATTATTATTTTCGATTAACATCTGTTTTCGGCAAATTTAATTGTTCTAACATCAAAGCAACACTCATTCGGCGGTCTTTGTTCAGCAAATCTCGCGCACGAGTGTGTGGCATTATCGTCCACTCGCGATGTTGATGGACGCCCATCGACCATTCCCGGCCTTCCTTGAAGGACTTGTGCCACTTTTTGACCAGCGAGTACGACAGCAATCATCCTTGAAGGTCTGAGTGAGTAAACCAAACGTTTCCTTCGCCTTATTTTGGAGTTAGACGCAAAATTTTATCGCATAGCGTTCCTTCGAAGTTCTCTCTATCCTAACTACTACGAGGCTATGTGCGGATGTGCACTAAAAATGACGTCCCATCGCCCCGAATAATAATAATAATAATAATATTTATTCGTCATGCTATACCATCTGGTTTACGACACGTCCAGTTCTACATACAAACATAATATAAAATACACAATAAAATTACCGATGGACCAAACAATATAATATGTGACTAACTAAACGTAAAACATCTAACATCTAGGAACAAACAGTCATCTTAGTCTTTAAATATTCGCGCACGGAGTAGAAACAATGTTCAAGCATGTGCTTCTTAACATTCTTTTTAAAATTAATGTAGTTAAGCGCTTTTGTAGATTCGGGAAGAATATTGTAAAACTCTACACGTAGACTATTTTTTTTTGATATCGAAAGATCGTAGGAAATTGAACCAGGCGTCGATGGACGACGTCGCGTAGCTGAAAAGCTTGGAGTTTCCCTCGGCACTTCCCCCCGGTCGCGCATGTGTGCGCTGTACATACATCAGTCGCGAGGGGGAAAATGGCAAACCCAGTACGGATGCAAAATTTTTGTTTAATAGTTCTATGGATCTATGTACTACCCCAGACAAAATTTATCTGTGTAGTGGTAGTATGTATAGACCTCGGTGTTTTCATTTAAAAAGCTTTTTTAAAACTGCAAAATTTAAAATGAATTCCGGATATGTTGAATACCATTATTTATCATTTGTGGTGGTATTTGGTGGATTTTGAATTATTGTACTGTGCGTACCCAGGCCAACCCTGAGATACTGCGCAACTAAAGATTTACAATCGAAACTTTCCCTCCAAAACTAACTAAACTCCATGGCACAAGATCGCCTAGAGGCCTAGACAAAAACCTGAATGACAATAAACTGCTAGGACCACTTTCTAGGTTGTGTTTTAAAAAGTCGCTACGAGATATGTGTTGTTTTTCGGAGCGAGCATAAAGTAACGTATACAAGTCAGGCTACGAGATATGTGTTGTTTTTCGGAGCGAGCATAAAGTAACGTATACAAGTAAAACACAAGACAGGCTTCACCGCTTCATTAACAGAAATTTAATCAGAATAAATTTTAGGTAGTTCACCGATTAAAAATATAGAACTAGGTTAGGGGGAAAAAAGAACTCATCAAGAAAAAAACCAGGCAACGAACTAATAATATACTGTATAGCAAATGAATTGTTGGTAATGCAATAAATGCATATTAGAACAATGTAAATTTATGAAATGTCGAATATAGACTCCACTGAAATTCCTAAAAAAACTCATTATTTGACACACATGATGTAATAGTTATTTACGTTATAAGGCCGGGAAGTAGCTTATTAAAGTATGAGTTTAGATGTTTACGAACGATGCGACGAAGGAGCCGAGTTCGGAATTTCTAAACGAGTGCTTTAATAATCACTTCACGGCCGTGTATCGTACAAAATTTTATTTCATACTGTCTCAATTTTGAGATTTCTTTTGATTCTTTTAGATAACACATACCATCTTTAGTCGCATCACCTTTGAATCCGGTACCGTTGCATAGTTACGCACGAATTGTTTTGCCTTGTTCATTTATTTGAAAAAAAATTAACGCGGCATGTTCTTCTGGTGGTGAATTTGTAAGTGTGATTTGTTCAAAAAGTGAAGAAGCTGTAGAAAATCTCCTCCCCAGAAATCAGTATCAGTTATATAGTTTGTGCTTGGCGAAAAAAGGTACAGGCTAACAAGTCTTCTTTAAACTAATAGAATACCTTCTAGGCCAAAAAGTTCTCTAGTTCTACATTGTGGTCCAAATATTCAATGTGCAAAACCATGATAAATGAAAACGCGAACATTTCCAAATATGTCAAGTTGACAGCGCCTACAAAGATTACCGTTTAGTAAAGGTTAGATGACACCTAATTGTACAACCCTTTAATTTCGGATTCATCGGGATTCAGGACACAAAAACTCACGGTAGACGTAGACGTATTTACAGTCATTAATAAGTGCGATGGAGTGAATTTTTTGAAATTGTACAGAAATTAGTGCAATTTTCGCCCCGAGAATATGGTTGAGAAGGTGGCAAGAGGTTTCCACCACCACAGTCCGCAGCGATGAGGGTGTGTCTACTATTAAAGTTAGTGAGAATTCTAATTGTATAATTAATAGTCTTAAGCTCTCGAATGATAATGTAAATAGCTATCGTCTTAAACAAATTTGACGTTTCTTCTTGTCAGAAAATTATCAGTTGCTACGCAACACTTTCCGGTCTTGTGATGTAATAGATCACTTTCCGGACTCAAATGAATGATGTAATGTACTGTATAGCGGACAGTATGAAATAAAAATACATTAAACATTATCATAAATGCACGTAGTTTGGATATTGGGTGGCCAGTACAGTATCCCGCACATCACAAAGAAAAGTATCTTTAGTTGCTATTGCTTCAACAAGAACCACACACACATTAATTAAAATGTCATAACATGTCAGCCTTGTACTAAAAACCTTAGGAGTTGGTCTCTCTTCAGAAAGTATAAAATAAAGGGCACAACCAGAATACGCCGTACGATAGCAGGTCTCTGCATGGCATTCCCTCATCTCTAGAGCCACGTCAATCCAGCAGCAGAGTTATAAAAACCGACCTCAAGCTTTTAACATTATTATGACAACTCGATAAAAGACAAATCATGGCACAACATAAAAATTATGACAATACAGTAACGATCAACATACTTGTACATACTCATAAACAAAATATATAGCATCGGTAGGCTTCGAGAGGTGACGCAATAGTAAAAGATTGACACGAAAACCAATATTCGGTCACTACGTCAAGGGCCAACTAAACCAATCGATTAACAATAATCAGCACGGTGGCCCGTGGACATCTTTGGTGTATATCAGGCGCAGTATGCACTTTTTATGTTTAACCTGCTACGTCAAATCGAGATTTGATGAATCAAATATAGCACATATTCGAAACAAGTCACCCTGCTAAAAATGAATATTCAGTATTAATTACCAGTTTTAAATAAACAGATCAAGGAAAAATACGTTCATTAACATTACAACAAAACAAAAGAACATTTCGTGGCGTGCAATGTCATGTGAAATCATTCAATTTTGACCTAACGCAGCTCCCCTCCAGGTGAAACACCCTGTAAAAAAACAGCAACATAAAGAACTTGTAAAAAAATGAAATGCTGCAAGAAATTCAATTATAAATTAACAATTACAAACTGTAGCAAAATCTAGTAACGTACAGATATCAAATTAATT